GATTTCCCTGGAGTAAAACTCTGGGTTGGGGGCAATGAGCCAAAGAAAGAAAACGACAGTCTCTGTGATTAGACCTAGTCCATGTAAACTCAGAATCCTTTGGGGATCTTAGGCCACAGCTTACATTGAAATATAGCATCTAGAAATTAGCACAACATTGTGGATGTGCTCTGATCATAGCAGGTAATTATCATAGGATTTAGAACTGATTGAGATTATAGAAATCATCTATTTTAACTCTTATTTTACTCATGTTTTGGACACTTTTCCACTACCACAACCTAGAATCGAATTAGCTTTTCTTGGACTGAGACTTAGTGGATACATAGGAAGGTATAGATAGAACACCAAGATCTGCACGTATCAGGACTGTCTCTCTCTCTGACTAAAAGTGAGCTTGGGAGTACAACTCAGAATTCCTCCAAGGATACTGCCTAGACCACTCTTAGATGGGTAGTCTAGGGTGGAAGTGGGGGTCAGGAAAGGGGTACTTTAGGGAGTCATTCTACTTCCTGGTCATTCAGGAGATGAAGGCTTTGAGGCTGTGAGAATCACGACCCCTGAGAAAATGTTAAATAGAAGTTATCTAGAAGGTTGGCACTATCTATCTAGTTTTTGTTGGCTAGGATTGTGTTAATTGCCCTTGTGATCACCTGAACCTTACTACTGATATATCTGTATTTCTTCCACCTCACCAATAAATGACTTGAGAAGAACCCATTTGGTGTCTGGGCTGAGTGGCAGGAGGTGAAGACGAGAGGGGATCTTCAACATACAGTAGCAGGGGGTACTTGGGGTCAGGATCACAATTATGGGGAAGACTATTGAGCTGTCTGGGGCAGCTAGGTGGCACAGTGGATAAAGTGAAAGGCCTGGCGTGAGGGAGACTCATCTTCCTGAGTTCAAATCTAGCCTCAGACACTAGCTGTTCCACCGTATTCAAGTCTCTTAACCCTGTTTGCCTCAGTTTCTTCATCTGTAAAATAAGCTGGAGAAGGAAATGGCAAACCACTCCAGTGTTTTTGCTAAGAAAACCTCAGATGGGGTCAGAGAGTTGGACATAACTGAAAAACAACTGAACAACAATCCAGCTGTCTAGCTCAGCTGCTTTGAGTCCCAGATAGCAATTCCCAGCCGTGGGCTAAGGGCGAAGGTCCTCTGAAGTTAGTAAATGGAAGGAACTGATCTCCTTGGAAGTTAAGGTTTGAGCACTCAAAGAATCTTTTATAGACTATGCTTCTTTCTCTATGTGCCTGAGGTGGGAGGAGAGGGGAGGGAATATTGTGGTTGGGGAGGGAAAGATTGTGGCTCAGGAAAGAAGAAAAGGAGGGGGGAGAAATGACCAAATGCCACACAATCGAAAGTCAAGCCATTCTTAAAAAAAAAATCAAGTTCTAAACCAAGAAGTAAGTTCCCCAAAGTTTACATTGCAGAGATATTGTGCTTTTATCAGTGTCTGCCCCCAAGGATCACAAGGATCACCCTAACATTAGACGCACTTGCCGCTTGCTCCCTGGGTTCCCTAAGATGACACGCTCTTATTGAAGTGCTTCCTTCATGTTTCTCTAACCATTCTATTTCTTAACTCTCTCAATGGCCATCCCTACCTTCTAGTCCCCCATCTCCCTTACTCCCATTCTTAGGATCAAAGGATCCTAAAGATGCCTAGGACTTAGAGCTGGAGGAGACCTTACAGGTTATCTATTCCAATGGGTCCAGAAAAATGACTTGCTCACACAGACATAACAGAGCTGGGATTCAAACCTAGATCCCCTGACTTGAAACCCAGCTCTCTTTCCTCTGTATCATACTGCCCCCTTCCTATTCCTTTATTAACCACCCCCTCACCATCCTTTTTCTCTGTCTTCTCAAAACTGCCTTCTCCTATCCTTTCTCACTCCATCCTTCCTTTAACCCTCTCTCATGCCCCTTATGCTCTTAAGTCCAATCCCCCTCACCCTTGCCTCTCTAATCCCTATCCTATTATTTTCCATATCCCTCATTTCTTCTCTTCTAACAACCACAAACTATTTTCTAACCCCAGTTTCAGTTCCTCTTTCCCCTCATTCTCTATTCCTTCTAGAAACCCAATTACTCTATCTCCTTATCCTTGACCCTCTCACCACATCTCTCACATCCTCCCTATTTCCCACTCTCCAACTCTTTTCCTTCCTCTTTCCACCTCTCTCTTTGCTTTGTCTCTGTCACTGTCTCTCCTCTTCACCCCACCTCCCCTGGTGTAGTGGAAAGAGCATTACATTTGGAAAGACCTAGACTGGAAGCCCAACTCTAGCTGTGTGTGACCATAAGAGCATTACTTAACTTCTCCAGGTCTGTAAAGTGGGAATAAGAATACCTACCTTAAAGTGCAGTATGAATTCAGTTATTATATTTCTTCTATTCCCCAATTACATTATTTCTTCATCCCTCTTGCTTTTATTTCTTCCTCCTCCCTTTCCCTACTGTTCCTATTTTCCTTTATCTTATCTCTCTCTCCCTCCCTCACCACTCCCTCCCATCTCTCCAAATGCTAACTGAGGCTTTAGATCTGATAACATTTCTGCTGGTTCTTAGCTTTCTCCTATTCCCTTAGCCCAGCCATTCCCAGAATATTGATGCAGATGCTGTAACTCTGAACTCCAATAAAGTTAAAAGCAGAAAACTTGAGGACAAAAAACTGTGACATCGGCCCTACCTTCTCTCCAGCTATGTAAACTGGGAGCCTGGTAACTATCCTACAGTTGAGTCTCCTAGAAGAATCAGGAGTTACACACATCTCCAAATGATAGCTCTGGACCAACTCCTCAGCATTTTGGGAGCTCAGGGTAGAGGGTTGTGTTTCCTTCTGTCCCCTCTCTTCCTTTCAGTCACCAGACAGGACCCTCGAAGACTCCTGGGAAAACTGGAAATTTGAATTCCTGGCATTAGGGACAGGGATAAGCACAAGGTTAGAGAGAATTGGAAGACAGAGATCTCTTCTCCATATAACTCAGTGCGAGTCCATCTGGCTCTGCCCCTACCTATAACTATGATTTCCTCTCAGGGTGGGAAGATAAGATTAGTCTTTCCATAGTCACCTCACCATCTTTGGTTCCTTCTCTGGGTCTCTATGGGGACAATGAAGAAAAAAAAGTGTTTACTTCTTGACACAATTCAGAAAGAATAGTGGAAAAAAAGCAGCTCAGGGGAGATCAGAATGTATTTCATTCAAAATCTTTAATTTTTTTTTTTACAGAAAAGAAGTTCAAATAGTGAACAACTTAACAAACAAAACACCAGTCTGAGGTCTCTCCACCTCCATCCCAAACCTGGGACCTCCCCCATCAAGTTGGAGCCCCCTCCTCCCCAACTATACCATATCAGGGATACCTCCACAGGAAAACCACGGATTGTCCCACCACACCAGACCAGAAATCCCTCAAACCCACACCAGAGATCCACCCAATTACAAACACCCACCCCAAAACTCCACACCATGCAACTTATTTCAAACTAGGGATTAAACCCCAAGTTACATCACATAATAATAGATTCTTCCCACCCCCATGTCTAGTTGTGTCAGACTGAAGCCCAAACACATCAAACCAGAGGATGCTTAAAAGTTAACAGGAGGCAGGAGATTCCTTCCAAAATGCACACACCTGGATACCCCTTCAATCTTTCACATGGAAATAATATCAATAATATCCCTTCTCCAGCATACACCAAAGCAGGGAAGCCCCTAAACACTTCCCTCCCCAGTTCTCGTCATTTAAAATACATTAGCCAGGGATCCCTCAAGTTACATCCAAGGGAAGATTCTTTCCTAACGGCACTAAACTGAGATCTTCCTCAAATCCAGACCATGCAAATTACTTCAAACCAGGAATTTCTCATTACATCTGAATGAGGATTCCTGGTCCCCCCCCCTTTGCTTCAGACAAGATTTTCTCCCCAAATTACATCAACTCTGAGATCTTTCCAAACTACGAAAATGAGCTTAAACCAGGGATCTCTTATTTTTATCAAAGGGGAGATTCCTGCTGTCATTCACCCCCAAGCAAGGGACCGATGAATTGTACGAAGAAAGATTTCTTTCTGCAATACATCAGAACTGGGTAATCCCTTCAAACCAGGGATAACTGATCCTACACTCAAGGTCCAAAATCGTTAGATTCCCCAGGCTAGGTTCTCCAAGCCAAATAGATTCAAGATCACCCAAACGTCCCCAAGATCCCTCCAACCTGGCCCAGGAACCCTCCCTTCCCCGCCCCAGTTCAAGATTCAAAGATAGTCAAACCCCACCCGAGACCCCTCCCACCCCCACCCCCAACCTAGCTGTCCCAACTACTTTTTATAAATACATTAAACACTCACTTTTCTCTCGCGGTTACGGCACTTCTAGGTCGCTAAGAATATCAGACACGGTTTCCTGGTCTGGGACCAATTCGAAACAGGTCGTCACTACCAGAGGGACCAAAGAAGTGCCAGAACCGGGATGAGAAAAAGCTAACTAGACACTCCCTTCGCGCCCAGCCTAACCCTTCTCCCCCGCCAAGTCCCCTCGTCTTCCGGACTCTCCCCCGCCCCCCCCCCCCCCCCGCCCCATACACACTTTCACAGACATACATACACATACTTCGGGAGTTTACGAGACAGAAAGAATCAGGGCAATACGATATTGGTAGAAACAAAGAAAAGAAGTGGGCTGGGAGGAGCAGGGTCAGCCCAGACGCCTCTTTAAAAAGTCACACACCGAGAGACATCGGATCACACGCGTGCGCGCACACACACAGGCCAGCGAACCAGCGAGCAGAGATTACAGAGTCACACATCGGGATACTTGGCAGTACAATTCTTCACACTTATTTAGGACTCTAATTCTTTCTTCTCTCTCTCTCTCTCTCTCTCTCTCTCTCTCTCTCTCTCTCTCTCTCTCTCTCTCTCTCTCTCTCTCTCTCTCTCTCTCTCTCCCCTCCCTCCTTCCCTCCCTCCCTCCCTCCCTCCCTCCCTTCCTTCCTTCCTTCCTTCCTTCCTTCCTTCCTTCCTTCCTTCCTTCCTTCCTTCCTTCCTTATTCCCAGGCAAGCAAGGATTGGCCCCGTAGAGGTTGAGTTGTCCCAGGTGGCAGGGGTGTCTTCTCTCTGCGGGAAACAACGGGCACTCGGAGTTACACAGGTTTACACACGCATGCACACACGCAACATGTACAATGTTCGCACTGCAGTCAACAAAGTGGAGAAAAAAAACCGAGAGAACAATGGAATTTGGGGAGGAGGGAAGAGAGAGGTGTTTCCCCCACTGGACCCCCCCATGGGTTAATTCTCCCATCCCCCTTCTTTTGTGTAACTGTCACTTTCTGTGATTGAGAACCTTCAATTGCACGTTTGTTTGGGGTTCTTTGTTTTGGAAACGGTCGATTACACAGGTAGGACCACGGAGGCCTGTGGGCTCTGCAGGCGGTCTTTGTACTGGTCAAGCCAGTGTCTCAGTTCCGAGATCTTGTAGCCCTCGGGGCCTCGTCCCCCCTGGTACATGACTCGGGCCTCTTGGATGATATAGAGACGCTCAGAGTAGGCACCGTAGGCTGCACTGGACGCGTTGTCCATGGTGTCCACAGCGAGCAAGCATCCCGGTGCGCCCTCCTGCAAGAGCCGGGCGGCTCGCAGCCGGTCCTGAAGGCACTGGTGCTTGGGGATGTCGTAGGCTGCATCTGAGCTGGCCCAGCCGTCGGAAGGGTGGGCTTCTTCGATGTAGACGAGCAAGAAGTCTGCGATGTCTAAGAAGGTGGAGGCGAGATGCTGGAAGGCGCGCAGCCGCGCCGTAAACGGGGGTCAGGTGCAGCTGCCGAAGTTGAGGACCAGTGGCCTGCTGCCCCGCGCAAAGTCTAGGATGCGCAGTCTTTTCAGTCCATCCAGCTGAATGACCTCGGGATTGGGGGCTGGGGAGCCCTTGTGGGCCGTCTTGAAGAAGTCCATCTTTTGCCCGTGCCAGACAGCCTTCAGCGACTCTATAGTGCAGAGCCGATTGGAGTCAGAGACCCAGATTGGCGGGTCATCAGGGGGTAGCCCCGGGAACAAGATAACAGCTGCCCCATCCTCCTCCTCTACTCCACCCCCGCCCATGCCCCCGCCCGCCTTCCAGGGATCCTCAGCTTCGCCTTCGCGCTGGCGTCTCATCAGCACCTTTTTGCGGATGCACAGGAAGTCCAGTAGCCACAGCGTCAGCGCTGTGGCCAGGAAGCGCGGGCCCAGGAAACAGCAGGCGGCCACCTGGGTAAGAAAGCCCAAGGTGTGAACCAGGAGGGAGTGGAGCCTGCCGGCTAGCCGCGGCGCAGCTGGGCAGCTGCGGCCGCGGCCGCCCTGGGCCCCACCCCCTCGCTCCCCTAGCCGACTTGGGTCCGGGCTGCTCATCTGAGATCCCGCTTCCCCTTAAACTGGATTTATAGTCGCGGGTTTAAAAGAAAAGGCGACTCCGCCCCCAGTAGGGCCCCGCCCCCTTGGAACTTCAGCCTGGGGATTACCTAGAGCTCGCCGCCAATGACCTAAAAATAAACAGGCAAGGAGGGGAGAGAGGGACCAAACGAGGGGCTAGAGACGTGCCATGGAGCAGGGAGAGCCGGAGGAGGGTGAAGGGGGGGAGGGAACAGAACTTACCTAACATCATAGCTGGAAGGGACCTTAGACGTCTTCTAGACCAACCTCATTTAGAAAACGGGTGTGGGGGGGAAACTGAGGCAAGGAAAAGGGAAAGCACTTTCTCAAAATTATACAGGGACAGAAATGACGAAGCCGAGACTCGAACTCTGGTCTTCAACCACCCAGCACCAGAATCGGGAGAGGTCTTTGCTCTGCACCACAAAGAGCTCTCTGTGCTGCGCTCCCTAGTAGGTATTCCTCAGGGCAGCGGGCAGAAGTACTCAAACCCCTCTCCTCGTCTAATGCCTGCCTTTTCTAAAGTTCCAAGTTTTTCTGCTGGGGCGGGGGAGGGGAGGCGTCCACGGCTGGGAGGTCTCCCACCTGAACACCAGGGCCGGACCCGCTTGGGGCGTCTCAAGTGAAGCCCTAGGTCCCTTTAGCTTTCAGTGGAAGTCTAAGGGTTTTCTCCGTCTAGGCGCGCTCTCCTTGAGCCCAGAAGCCCTATACTCTCTGCTGCGGGACCGGGACGTACTGTGGGGTTGAATGGGGGTAGAAGAAAGCCTTACTGACTCTTCACGTCCAACTCAACGCCTCCTGCTCCTAGGAGCACCTACCTCCCAGCTATCTCAAGGCAGCTCCCAGCCCGACGGATCTTCCCCCAGTAAGGCAGCGGACAGCGATCGGCAGAGTTCGGCTTCTGAGACCCACTCTTCTTTCTAGCCTTGCTATGGGAATAACCCGCTCTCCCACCTTCCCCCACCCCCATTCTACCTCCACCTCCACCACCCCGAACCACACCCTATCGGTGTACCTCACTCCTGGGACGCACAAACCACCACCATGTAACCTCATTCCACTCAATTCTGCACCCTACCCCTCTAAAACTACGGATACATTACATTGCTCTCTATCCCCACATAACGAATCCCTCTGGTCCCACATCCTTTGCTTTCCACTCCGCACTCTCCCTTTCCACTCTATAGACGCGCACATCCCTATCCTGTCCCGCAGCACAAACACTGCCCATCTCTGAGTTCGGAGTCCGCCCTACACCTTCGCTGACGCAGCCCGAACTCCTGCCGCCTGTCTGTCCAAGGAGCAGCAGCTCCGGTCGGCTTTCAGCTTCGGGCGTGGGGAGGCTGTCAGAAGAGTGTATGGAATCTGAGGGACAGCCAAAGTTGGGGATCCTGGGCAGCTGGGGCCAGGGTTTCCCGGTGGCCTCCCGGCAGGATACCTTAGGGGCCGAGTCCGGGGTTTGGAGAGGGCAGGGAGTAGGAAGAGCACACGCCTCATTACCCTGGCTCTCTAGCCGAATCTCGGAACGCCCTGGGAAGCACGGAGGGGGACGGGACGGTTGCTTTTCCGCTAGGGGTAGCTGTTGGCCGAGAGCTGGAGACCTAGGCAGGCGCTTATCCCCCGAACCGAGGTTTAGCGTGAGGGCTCGGGTCTCCTGTGGCCCGCAGCTTCAGTAGGTCCGGTCTCGAGGTGCTGGGGGGCACACTCTCGCCCCTCGCTTGGAGTGCCAGCTTTCCCTAAGCCGTCTGTGGGGCGGACAGGCTCCTCTCCCCAGCTCCCCAAGCCGCTCCTGCCCGCGTCCTCTGCTTTGGAGTCTGCTCAAGGGGATCCACGGGGTACCCTCCCCCCGCCAACGTCGCTGGCCCCGCCAAGCTGCCTCCCCGGGTCTGAACTTTGTCTTCCTACACTTGGTTATACTCCAGCCGGGGCGGGGTGGCCAGCACCCGGGGAGAGCCAACACTAAGTAAAGACAGGTTTCCTGGGATGTCGTGCGTGCGTGCGTGCGTGCGTGCGTGCGTGTGTGTGTGTGTGTGTGTGTGTGTGTGTGTGTAAATGTAAATAACTGGGGGATGGGGGAACTTTCGCCTGGGACTGGTGAACTGGTGGAGGATTCAATGATAGAGAAGCGGTGTTCAAATTCAGCTCCTCTACCAACTGGCTTTGTAACCTTGGACTTCCCCCTTTATGGACCTCAGTTTCCCCAACAGTAAAATGGTCTACGCTAGGTGATTTCTACGGTTCTTTCTAGGTCAGTCATTCTGAGATTCGGAAATGTGGACACTGGCCGCTCTTGACGCCCCTCTTGTCCCTGTCTCGGCCCTTCTCCAGCTAGGAAACGCAGAAAACGAGCGAATAAGCAAAATGCACGAAGTGGTGCGCCCCCGGCATGGGTGAGAACAGGAGTGTGAGAGAGGCAGATTTGAGAGAACTGTTTGAGAGAACTTGCACGCTGCTCCTGAAGGCATCCCGAGCAATCTGTCCCAGCTATCTGCCCCAGGTACCAGCTTCTCAAAATGAGCAGCTCCGGTCACCTTGGGCATCTGGGGGTAGTAGGGGTGATGACAGAGAAAGTCGTGGACTTGGACTCTTAAGACTTAAGGTTCAAGCCCAGAGCCTGATTCTGGCTTGTTTTGTGACCTTGCCAAATCCTATTTCTTTCCCGAGCCTCAGTATCCCCATCCGCACAAGGAAGGGGGCATGCTCTGGAATATGACTTTCCAATTCTAACTCCTATGACATCTTGGGGGCTAGGACACGCACAGAAATGGAGTCTCTTCTGGGGCAGCCGCAGACTTGTCCGCATTCTGCTGCTGGGCGGGGTGGAGGAAGAGCCCAGGATCCACTGGGATCAAACGGACCCTGGGTGCTGACACACCGCTGCCTCAAGAGATTGCGGCGGTCATGGATTGCATGGAAGCTGATCAGGCAGTGGTCTTCTCTCTGGACTGCGTCTCTGGGGACCACCAAGAGATCTGAGGCAGAGCAGCAGCGAAGAAGTGGGTAGACTGAGCGGGTTTAGCTGAGGGCTTAGTCTTTGCACGACTGAGCATTCGAAGGGGCCCAAATCTCCGGGAGTTGCCTCCACTTGGAGATTAAGAATTCTTTTCAAACCGAATGCACTGCATTAGTACAACCAGTCAGGCAGCTCAGCCTCTCTATTCTGACCATTCCTCAAAGCCCCTTATATAGGAGTTGCTTCAAAGAACCTCGGATAGAGGGGCGTTCTGGGAGGAGAGTTGGCATCTGTGGGGTCTGAGGACCTGCTTCCCTGAAGACACAGCTAGCCCCACCTCCAGTCACTTTCCCCTCTGCCATAATTCGGGAATATGAACTACACACACAGACACACACACACACACACACACACACACACACACACACACACACACTGTCTGACCCTAGGTTTCAGTGATTAATTATGGGAATAGCCTGAGAGACAAGACAGCATTTCCTCCTCTAAGGTTTTATTCTCAAATGCCTATTGAGATATCTGTTGAGGTAGGTATATTTATTATCTCCTCTCCCCTCCACCCCCCCCCCAATGGTAGAGTGACAGAATTAGAAGGAACCGTAGAACATAAAGCCTCTGAGCTGGAAAGAACCTTAGAATCTCTGAATTACAAAGTTAAAGATGGAAGGGAACTTAGAAATCAATTTACAGATGAGGAAACTGAGGCTCAGAAAGGAAAAGTAATTTTCTCAAAGTCACACAGAGACTTAGTGGAAGAACTAGAACTAGTACCCAGGTCTTTTACCTCACTCTCTTGCCAGACATAGCATTTGACCTTACCTCCCCTTCCCCAAATCAGGCAGCACCTTTCTCTTCTTTCATCTTTCCTTACTCTCCATGCCAGCTTCTTTTCATCCTTCCTCTTCCACTCATACGTGTGCAGGACTTGGGTGAGGGTGAGGAAGTTTCCCTAAAGCAAACCTGCCCCTTGCTCCTTCCCCATCCTGAAGAGTGGAGGTGATCCAGCTCCTATTATAATGGTAGGGTTTGGCTTTCTCCAAAAAGCCACCCTTTCTGTTCAAGAAGACAAGGTCACTTTTCTTTGAGTTTGTAATCAACACCATGGTTTCAATTTGTAGATGAAGTATCCAGTTTGTGGATTATTCAGGCCCTTCACTAGTCCCCTTTTTTTCCTTCTTTCCTGAGCCTGCCATTTTGGGCCATCCCATAGCTCCACCAGAGGGCGGGCAGAGGAAAGGAAAGGAGGGGAATCAGAAATCTATCAATGTGTTCACCTCTGAACAGCTTAGGAAGAGGCCGGAATTCTTTGTTTCTGTAAAACAGGTCCTAGGACAGGGTAGTTTCCTGGGTCCCTGGTTTCTCTTCAGTAACCATTTACTACTGATTAGCATGAAATTAACAGAACACTTAAAATCCCAAGAGAAAGACTGGGTCCCTTAAAGATAGGAAGAGTTAGCTTATTTTGAGTCCTTGTTAACTTAGATGACCACATACCCAGAACCTTCTATGTTAGTGATGGGGGTGGGGTGGGGGTGGGGTATGTAAGAGGATATGTATGTAGGGATGAGATCACTGGGGTTTTGGATAGATACAATGCTTTGGGGTAGGTTGGAGAACCTCTTGATTTTCTGTATAATACTGGCCACTAGAACTATAGTGACTAAATTATACTGACTTCAGTCATATCATGACTGAAATGATTGAACAAAAGTTAAATCAGTCAACAGAACCACTGTGAGTCAATCACATTTGTGCCTCAGATGGATTTCCAGGAAAATCAGCCAGGAGTAAGACCTGTAGAGCTGATGAAAAATAAAACAAAAGGATTGCTGGATCAAAACCCTCACTAAATTAAGATAGTGTAGATGCCCAATTCAACTAAATAATTCAACAAATATATATTAAGTTTGGTGTGTAGAACACTAGGCACTGGGAAAGCACTGATGTCATAGAGCTTACATGGAGGCATCACAGAAAGACGGTTGACTCTGGAGTTAAGCATCGATGTTTGAATTCCTGTTTTGCCACTTGCCACTTGAGAAACCTTGGGCATATCAATTCACCTCTCTGGGCCTAAGTTTCCTCATCTGTAAAATAGTGGGGTTGGATTAGACAACTTCTAAGGTCACTCCTAGCTCAAGATCTGTGACCCTAAGATCGACTATTATGGGGAATAGGACATATGAACAGATAACTCTAGGACATACCAAATGCATCTTGGAGGTACAGAAACAAGTGATATATGAAGTCTCATTGGGAAAAAGTAATTTCCAATGCGGGTGGGAATTGGAGAAATCTTATCGGAGAGGGTGGTCTTTGAGTTGGGCTTTAAAAATGGGTATAAATTCAACATAAAAGACGGGAAGGGAAGGTATCCCAGGTCTAGGGAACACTGTGAGCAAAGAAAGGTACAGAGATGGGAGAGTGCAGGATATGTTATCTTCAGGGAACAGAGGAGCCCATTTGTACTAGGATCAGTTAAGAAGAATAGAAGATTTGACAGAATGATCAGGAAGTTCTGTTTATAGAATAGGTTTTTTTTCAAAGAATATTGTTTTATTACTTTGAGAACATATTAACACAAACCAGTGGGTAATAAGTTGTTCTCAGCTACAAATTCTTCAGAACCTGTAGTTTAAATTAATAAATAGTTTAAAAGCATCAGGAAGAGTCACAATGAGTAACATTGCTTATTTGAATTCAATTGATGCTGATAAAGGGCCCAAAGCGGCAGTTTAAACATTACCACTTGCAATAATGTTGATATTATTCAGTCAATTCGATAAACATTTCCTAAGTACTTGAATGAGCAGGGTCCTCTGTTGGTGCTGGAGGATGAAGGGAATTAGACTAAAAAAACAAGACACAGACTCTGTTCCTCAAGGGATCCTCATTCTAATAGAAGAGGAGGGTAGAAATAACCATAGTACATGGTAAAACATAATAGAGAGGTAACATAATAGAGTGTAAAGAGCAGACTCTAGAGTTAGAAGACTTAGATTTGAATCCTGTCTTCTCTGTGTGATCCTGAGCAAGTCACTGTCTCCTGCCCCAAGCCTTAGGTTCCTCTGCTGTAAAATAAGAGGGTTAGACTAGATCACAGTTTTTTACCTTTTTTGTCCAATGGACTCCATTTGGCAGCTGGGTGACAGACTTCTTCTCAGAATAATGTTTTTAAATGCATAAAATGAAATACATAAGATTACAAAGGAAACAAATTATATTATAATCAAAATACTGAAAAAAAAATCACAGATCCTAGGTTAAGAATCCCTGAACTAGAGTTCTGAATTCTGAAATCCTTTCAGTTCTATGTTCTGGGGTGGAGGAACAAATACATAGGGGAGGTTTAAAAAAAAAAAAGGGCCATGAACAATTTAAGGAGGGAGAAATTATTTCCTGGCAGGATAATCAGGAAAAGCTTTCTAGAAGAGTTTAAATGTGAGCTAGACCTTGAGGGAGGTGTAGAATTTTAGGTGTTTCTGGACTTTTGCTTAGCAAGCTAACCTCCCCAGTCCAACTCTTCTGCATCATACAGAAGTGAAATTGGAGTAGCTTAGCGACTTGACTGACTGAGTACTCAGAAATGAGCAGGATTATTTAGAGCAAAGAGATTGGGAAAGGCCTGAGCCTCACACAGTGCCAGGCTCTGCAAAGCTACTGTTCTAAATGTCAGGCCTGGCAGGCTTTAAGGACATGGACGTGTCACAAGTTGTCAGAGCTGGACTGTGGATCTCTGGGGATCACTAGTCTGAGCTAGGGTATGGGTAGCTAGGGGCTTCCAACTTGGGTCTAGAGAACTAGGGTTCATGCCAAACATCAGGGCTAAAGTAGCTGACTGACCAACGGGATAAGCAGAAAAGTGGAGAGTTAGAGAAGCCACGGAGTCAGCAAGGGAGGAGACAAGGAAGGGTTGCCAAGGGAAACCTCTTCCAGCTCTGACATTCTAGACTGGAGGCAGGGAGAGACATTACAAGGCTATGACAGCAGTCCAGGTAAATGGTCATGAGGGCAACAACTAATAGTAATGGAGATAG